CGAGTATTACCACCACGGTTGTTAATTACATCTTGCAAACGTTCGCGCATATTAATGCATCGCCGTATCATGGCTTGGGGAACTTGGTTGCAAATTCGAAGAAACGCATTTTTCAGCGTACGTAAATTCCGTAACACTTTTCGTTCAAATTTCAAAGTTTGATACATCTTTTCATAGGGAACAAAGAATCGGAGCCATTTGAAACTTCGCACACATTTTTTGGGCAAATGAGCTTAAAAAAAAAACCTAGGCAGAATCATTACAATACTTACTTACAAAGATACCGTAACTTTTGTAATTTGAGGAAAAAACGCCGTTTTTTGACGTTTTTTTACATCAATATTAAGCATAAGAAAAAACATCTAATCAAAAACTGATATAGCCATCTTAAAGGGTGCATTTTCCGCTTTCTGGAACCGTATTTACACTTTCTGTTCGATAATGGGTTCATGAGATAATGACTATCAAAGGAAAAAGCGTCATTTTGGCTTTGGTAGCTCATAACTTTGCGACCGATCGTCGAAACGAACTTCATGGACGTGCAAATTATAGGGGAAGGAACAGGGAACAGCAATCTGGAAGTGGCATTAATCGAAAAAATTTTTCCATGTATTTACAAGCCTTAAAAGAAAGAAAAAAAATTAAAAAATTTTTTCATCGCGATTTTTTATATATTTTGTTAATGATAATGGGCTCGAAAAATTTTTGAGATAAAGGGTCGAAAACTAGAGACCTGAAGCTTCAAAATGACTCTTCTGGATGTCTTCTGTGATGAATTCCAACGGAGGCAGAGCAATTTGAAAATGACCTAAAAATTTTAGAAATGTTTCTGTTCCCTTAATTTTTTTGACTAGTGTATTTACCGAATTATTAATAATTATACGACCGAATTATTAATAATAATGTTTGAGTACCTTTTATTGGCTACCGCAATATTTTATAATTGCGTAACTGAAAATTAATGTGTTTCTCTTGTTATACTTTTACTTACACGTTTTTGACTAGTTATAACTAATTATAAGTTTTCGATATTGAATGTCAAAATCTTAATTATTGGCATTTTATTAAAAATTTAGTATCTTGAAAACGATTAGATGTAAAGAAATGATGTTCGA